GGGACTGGGGAGCAAAGGATCAGAAGTCATAGTAGTAGTAAAGTGATCCTTATAGTAGCATACTTTGAGTTACTTACTGTGTGCCAAGCTCTTTCCATAACAACCCAATGACATGGGTGGGGTGCTGCCACTTTACAGACAAAGGTAGCTGGAGAAAACACTGATCCACATCTCACAGGTGCCAGAGCCCACACTCTGGGCCCCTCTCTCCAACTACGCAGCTCTGTCAGAGGCTTTTGCACTTTAATGAGAGTTTCTTTCATTTCGAGAGCTCTACAGTTTGTGAAGCTTGTGTGTGTCTCCCTGCTGCTGCCCAGTCCGAGGACTAGGGTTAGTTCCACTGATGCACTAAGGCTTAGTAACTCAGATAGGTTTGAGGTAAGAAATGAGTGGCATCAGACCCTGAACCCAGTTCTGATGCGTCCAGTCAAGTATGCCACTTTCTTTTCTAAAGCCTTTCTTAAAAGAAAGGCCACACTCTGACCTTGATGTGCAAGGCCTATTTGAGATGGCTCCATCCACCTTCTCCTCCTCCACCTATGAACTCCCAGATTTTGCAACCCTGGGAGCTCTCACAATGGAGGAAACTTCCATCAAGGTTCATTTGTTCCTCCCACCAGAGGGCAGCTGTGTTTGTAGTAGAAATTCCTCCAATTGGAGCCTATGGGTGAGGCACCAATTCATACAGGTGACTACTGCTGTAATTCAGGCTGTGTGTGTGTGGTGCTAGGGATCAAACCTGGGGCCTTGTGCGTGTTAGACAAGTACTGTACAATTAGCTCCATCCTGAGCCCCTGAGAAGGATGTTTTAAAGCATAATGTATAAGCTAGATGGCAAGGGAGCAACTAACAGGATGAATTATAAAATATTTTTAAATTAATTTGCCAAACATATAAACAAGGTTAAAAGAAAGTATCAGACTAGATAATTATATTTAACATGATTTAAAATAGTATTGATATCTTTAATATACAAGAACACTTATGAATCAACACAAAAATGTAAACACTGCACTAGAAAAATGGATAGATACTTTGAGTGGCTCACAAAAGAATAAGTAAAAATAGAATAGAATATACAAGTACTGTATAATAAGTAGTTACTTCATACAAAACAAAAATGTAATATAAAAAGTGCAATGTTATTTTAGATAGAGTCTGAGATCCAAAGAAGTGGGTGCTATCATGTGTTGGGTACAAGAATATAAATTTTCCTACAGTCTCATAGAAAAACAGTTTAGCAGTATATTAATAAGTATAAGATGAGTAGAGACTTTGATTCAGGTTCAGGATTTTAGCTATCATTTTTATCAAAGTAATTTTGTATAAAATTCTCACAGCATTCTTTTTTTTTCAATTTGGGTTGAAAGTATTTTATGAGGAGTTTTGCATCTATATTCATCAAGGAAATTTTCCTCTAGTTTTCTATTTTTGTCGTATTCTTACCCAGTTTGGGGATTGGGATAATAATGGCTTCACAGAATGAGTTTGGAGACTGTGGGGAGTGGATTATGAGAAGTTTATGAGAACCTGACATAAGCACAGTTGTGCTCAATGATCTACAGGCTGAGTTTGGCACGACCTTAGCCGCAGAAGAGAGGGAGAGGCAAATGCAGCACAGCTGCTTTTCCTAAATTGTTTAAGTTCAGAAAAGTAGAGAGCAGGTTTCTCTTGTTAAAATGTCACGCCCCTCCCCAAGAACTGTTGTTCCACCTCCTGTTTACCATTGGATATAAAAGATTTGCTGAAGGAGGACATGGTTGATTGATTAGTAGGCTGCTGAGTTGTGCTAGAGATTAGAGAAAACATGGGACAGTGCAAATCTGAGGACTGAGACTTTAAGAGAGATTAAGGAAAACATGGGACAGAGTGAGTCTAAGGAAAGAGACTTTAAAGAATAGAAAAGAAGCAAGGTTTTAAAGAATAGTGAAGAAGTAAGGCCTTAAAGAATAAGAGAAAAGAAGCAAAGTACAAGAAGAGTTATTATAGAAAAGAAGCAACGAGGCTGTTCTGCGTCTCCATCCAAGCGCCCAGCACACCTGGCCCCAACTTTCTGCCCATCTGTCTTCTATCGTTTGTCCTCTCTGCATCTGTCATTGCCCCCAGTTAGGTCAGGAGGAACAAGAGCTCACTAAGCTCGCTACAGGAAGCACTGCTTCCCTTTGCACAGTGCTCTTTACAATGAAAATTTGGGAAGAACTTAAATGTCTACCAATTAGGGATTAAATTATAGTATATTGATGAAATGGATTTCTATGTAGCCATTTCACAGAATGGTATGTGCTAGAGGTTGACAAACTATGACTCACAGGCCAAGTCCAGCCCATGGCCTGGTTTTGTTAATAACATTTTATAGGAATACAGCCACATCCATTAATTTATAGACTGTCTGTACATGAACTAATTTATGTAATGTTAGCTGCCATATCTCCACTTTCTTAGCACAGAGTTAAGTAATTGCAATGGCAGTGTAAAGTATTTACAACAGGGACTAAATGGCCCAGAGGCCGGAAACATTTATTACCTCTCCTCCTACAAACAAGTTGTGTGCTTTTGATACAATGCTATATCCATTGATGTGGAAAGCTCTCTATAACATATTATGGAGTAAAAAAAGCAGGAGACAAAGTCAGATATGTAGTGTGATCCCTATTAGGTGCAGTTAGGTGGTGATGGGGGATGCAAAAACAAAATAGCACCTTTAAGAATGTATTTTGAGGAGAGATGTCTTGAGTTATGTTCCCCAACATATTTTGGGGTGTCTTTGAGTTGTGAGATTTGAAGTGATTTTTTTCTTAACCTTTTTTATTTTTATGCATTTTCTAAATTTCTAAAAGATAAATTTATATTTTTGAATTGAAAAGTAAACTTAAGAAATATTTGCATAAATAAAATGAGTAATAATTATTTTCCAAAAAGACAGAGAATTTGTACTGATAACTCACAAGAGGAAAAAGAGCTACTGAGCAGACTTAGAGAACTGTCAGAGCATTGCAAATGATGCCAACCGAAATTGTTTTGTTTTCAAAATTAACAAATTTAAATCCACTAGATATTGGTCGGGGATCAAGGAAAATATCCATAATTTCTGGTGCCCTTATAAATTGTTAAAATTTTGAAAAATAACTTGGTAATGTTCAAGTACTTTCTAATATGCCCTTGGACTTTTGTACCTTTAAAGTATACCCTGAAACAGTAATCTCAGTTTCAGGGTGCCTAAAGAAACTCGCTTCTAAAGAAGTCATCTTCCGTGTGGGAAAAAAACATATGCACCAAGTTGTTTAAGCAGTGTGAGATGTCTTTGATTTCAAGCTAAGCGGGTTTGATCATAAAATTGCATGAGTGCTGTTTGTAGCATGGCCACTCCCATGCATGGCTGGTAGGGATGCAAAGCAGCCACTCTGGAAAATGGCATCTCAATCTCCTATCTAGTTAAATCCATACTTACCATATGCTATACAACAACAGTCTTACTCTACTTATTTACCCTTAAGAAACAACTTACATTCACGGCAAAATGTGTGTGAATATTTATAGCAGTTCTGTACATAACTGTCATTTACTGCTCTAAAACAGGTGAATGGATAAAGAGTGACATATCCATGCAGTAATGTGTGTGATATATCAACTCAGTAATAAAAATGAGCCATGTTATCAATACTTTTAACCACTTGGCTGAATCAGAAAAGCACATACTCAGTAAAGGAAGACAGTCTCAGAAAAACGCTGACAAACTGGAGCCCACCTATATGTATGTCTTGAGAAGATAGCAGTGAGGGGACGGATCGCTGGTCAGTGGCTGCAGGTGTTAAGGTTGGGGAGAGTGTGACTGCAGAGGGTAAGCCAGCGACTGTGTTGGCCTTCTGATTGTCCTGTGCTCTAATTGAGGTAGTACAAGTTAAGATAGGAAAAAAACTGGAAGTCGGTGCACTAAAATTACAGCATTGTTTGAAATGATGGTATCATGAACACTTTTCATTTTTTTAATTTTTCCAATTTATTTTTTTTTTATTTATTTTTTTTTACAGGGGCTTGAAACACAGCTTTTTATTTTTCTAAGGGGGAGATTTGGCTCCGAGTTTGAGGGCACACAAAAGGCCCTCCAAAAAGGAGACAGAAATCTCTTACCCTCCTGGCCAGAAATAGCCCCGGGGGAGGCTGGGCTGAAGCCAGAGGCCAAGAAGCCATCCCAGCAGACCTTGGAGAGGTCTTAATTTTTCCAATTTAAATGAGCAAATTGTTTTATTACTAAATAATATTCTTAGAAGCAAACATATTCAAGCTCTCTAAAATCATAACAGTGTATGAAGTTTGGAAAGGGAACAATTAGCCTTCAGTACTGCAATAACATCCGAAGACACTGTGCATCTTGGGTCATCAGGGAAGTTCAAATTGTGTTCAGGAATCTGCTTATAAAATTGATTATATGCAGAGTTCCCTTCAGGAAGTGGAAGTAATCATGGAATTTGTGCTTTGTTAAAAATTCTTTCACTGGACATTTTACTTTTGCATAATTCTCTGTTCCTGTGTGTGTGTTGCTGGGATTGAAGCCTAGCCCTCAGCTACACCTCCAGCTCTCCATTCACCATTGATGCCAAGTAAATGAGATTGTCATTAAGGCCAAATGAGACTGTGTAACCCCACGTGTTACCTCATTCGTTCTTCATACTCTCCCTCCCCCTGGAAGATAAGTAGGATGAGAATATGCTCTTCTGTCTGCAAAGAGGAAACTGAGGTACAGAAACTCTCCAGTATAAGCAGTAAGCAACAACAGTATGTTTTTAACTTTGCTCTCAGGACAGAGCTTGTACTCTTCTGTTGCTTGCCAATAATGTTATAAAAAGTAATAGTACACTATTTTTTTTTCTCTTGGGAATTTCCTGGACATCATTAGGGATGAAATAAATACATGTTTTAGGAGAGGAAATATTTGTGTTCTTGTTGAAAATTCATGAGTGCTTTGATGGTAATGAAATTCTCCTGTCTGTTTCATTTTTCAGGATTTTATACTGCACCCTGATTCTGCCTCTGCACTACCTTGAGCCTTTCTTTTCATACATCTTCATCAACCTACAGCTCATGGTCTTGCAGGTCCTTCACCTGTACTGGGGTTATTTCATCCTGAAGATGCTCAAAAGATGTATATTCATGAAGGTAAGAGCTATCCAAGTACCATTGTTCCTAAGTAGCAGACTTTATCATTGGACTAAAGAGGAGAACTACATGGTGAAATGCTGAATTAATTCATAGTTTTAACTAGAATTCTTTCTTTGTGTTGATTTGACCATTGTTATTTGTTTTGAGGTGTGAGGGTTGAACCAGGGCTTTGCTCATGCTAGGCAAGTGCTCTACCATGAAACTATTATTTAATTATTATTGGTAAAAATTTTCACTACAATGTAGTTAGGTTTTTCATAACTAGTTCTCTAAAGTACTTTAGTTACTTTTAGGGATAGCTCAGTAGTAGAGTTCTTGCCTAGCATTTGCAAGACCATGGGTTGGTTCCCCAACACTGGAAAAAAAAAAAAAGAAATTGCTTTTACTAGAGGAGATGTTACTGCTCCTTGAGGACCCTTAGACAAGTCTGAACTTGGTCCAGTTGTGACAAGCTTTAGGATGATGGTTGAGTAATGCTTCAGAACCTTAGGTTACTTTGCTGAGCATCCAGTTTGTGCATAATGCTCTCTCCATGAGCTTGCTTGTACTCTCTGTTGTCTATCACTTGGCTGTATTTTTTTTCTGAAAACATCTTCTTTCCTAAACACAGCCATGCATTGCTCAACTATGGATCACATTCTGAGAGATGCATTGTTAAGTGACTTGGTTATTGTGTGAATATCATAGTGTACTCACAAACCTAGATGGCATAACCTGTACATACCTAGGCTTCTGGTGAAGCTAACTGCTCCTAGGGCCATGATGAGCAAAACAACATGAGGTTGAGTGAAACCCAAGAGAAAATGATGAGACCAGTGAGATGAGTGATTATGCTGCTGGTATAATATAGCGTACTCTTTCAGAACACACTTTTATATAAGCCAGTAAAAGGATTACACTGTAAAATAATGGTGAGAGTGTAGTATAGTAAAGACATCACCCAGTTACAGTCATTTATTAACATTGTCAAGTACTATGTGCTGTCCGTAATTGCCTGAACTCTACTGGCAGTTTAGTAGGCTTGTTTATACCAGCATCACCACACACATGAATAAGTGTCATGCCTCAACATGAGGACAGATACAGCTTCACTAGAAGGTAGGAAGTTTTCAACTCCATTATAATCTTATAACCACTGTCATGCCACTGACCAAAAGGTGGCTTTGCAACCCACGGCTATAATAACAAATTATAATACCTTTTAGATAATAGAAGGTTTTGTATTTGTTTTGTTTTGAACTCAGTTCTGGAGTTTAATTACTGGCTTTAGGGATGTAGTCCACCATCTAGTGGAGAAATATTCACCATTGGCAATGAACTACAGTGTACAGAATGGCATATGCTAAGCAGAGATCCCAGAGATGGTGGAAGAAAAGAGAAACTCATTGACACAGGAAACCAGGGCAAGTTCCATTGAGTGGTGGAGCTGAGTTGCACTTTGAAAACAAGCAAAAAGAAATCAGATCATACTCCTTTGTCTGCAAATCAGACATCTAAGGAAGTTTCAGTCCAGCATCTTTCAAGTTGAAAGTCGCAGCTGGTCTACTCTGTGGTGTCACCATCCATATATAACACTGTGTTGTATCATCAGAATGGAAGACTTGTCCGTAACAAGCAGGCTGGTAATTACTTGGAAAAGTTCATTTTTTTGATCAAATCTCTGATTAAGTCACTTTTCTACTTTAGTAAATGTGCCTCAAAGATCATTGAGGAGTTGCCAGATGAAATGGACAGTGCAATCATTGACCTCTGCTCTTTTTGCCATTTTAAGTTCTAGATCTAGACAGAGGTATAGAAAATTGAGCTATATCTGAATTATATTTTTAAAAAAACTAACTCTGAGAGTGTGTTTAAAAAAACCTAAACTACTGACATGAGCTCCTTTTCTTAAAGTGGAGTGACAAGAAAAAGAATTTGTGCCAAAAAAAGAAAGAAAAAGAACTGTCACTGAATGGTTCTAGTTGATGTAGTTCTAAATAGGTTGTCTGCGATCTCTCAAGACTATGATGTCTTTACGTAACTGATAAAGCTGAGATGAGGTTAAGAACTGGAGTGGTTAGACAATTTGCAGCTCCAGTAGTTGGCGTACATGGAGGTTCCTCAGCTGAGCCTATAATTCTTTGGGGTCAAGCCTTCCTGGACCTCCTGTCCCCTTATTAACTGGTGAGGACCCAGAGAGAGCAAAATTTGAAAGCCAGAGGACATCTTGTTTGGTTTCATTGTGATTTTCACATTTTGATCTCTACTGGGTCATGCCAGGCCTGATTGGAAACCCAGCGGCCTGGCAAACAGTGGGCCAGAATCCTGATTTCTTCTTCTGGACTTTGGAAAAGCTGTTTCCAATTGCAGTTTGACAGCAGTGGTGGGGCCCCGCAGCCCTAATCCTTGCAGTTCGAATGACTTCAGCTGGCTTGCACGTGCACTCGCTTTTCCACAGCAGTGGCAAAACTGGCTGTGAAATCAGCTTATTCCTCCAAAGCCATAAAGCCTGCTTTAAAGGAATGCTATTCGAAGGCAGAGTTGCACTGCAGAGGGGAAGAAGGGGGAGGGGCAGGAGCTGAAACTCTCAGAGGAACAAGTCAATCAGTTTCAACTCTATTTAAAAAGCATTTAATGCAGCTTCGGTTGTTACTAAGGTGACTAATTCCTGGATGCTTTAAAAATGGACTTGTAGAATTCACGTCTCCAAATTTTCCTTTTAAACCTTTTAATAGATATTGAGAATTTGCCCCTTCAGTTCCTTAGGCAAGGCAGGCAGTAATTTTAAATACACAAATGACTGAGTAATTTGGGAAACAAACCACACTGTTTTAGGTGGAAAGTTACAAAGTAATTTGTTAATCATTTTTGGTCTCCATGAATTTGTACAGCAGACTTAAAAGAAGAAAATTGTTATATTTCCTAAAACTAGTATGTGTTTGTAGTAGTCACTTCTCATTTTCCATAAACAACAGAATCTTTCCACCACTTGCTTTTCTTCTTGAATAAAATTCTTAAAATAAGAACATCCCTATAATTTCAGATGCTAGCATGTATTCACCCTCTTAGCAGGCCTCTTGAGGCTTAAGAACAAGACTTGGCCCTGGAACTTAGGATTCCTACAGAGTAGGTGATTTTGTGATGAACTCCCCGCCCACACCACACATCAGTAGATGCGACAGGCTGACAGTCACTTTGTCGTTCAGGTACTTTTAGAGGACATGAGAGGGAACACGGTATGCCTTTGTTTAACATTACCTAAGAGACCTTGATTGTCCTGAAGCTTTTCTTCCTTTCTTAGTGACTGTCACACTGGGTCCTGACCAACAAGCATGTCTCTGTGACATCTTACACTGGTGACTAGCCATGGCATGCAGGGGAAGCTGCAGTATGCAGCCATTAAAGCCAGGAAGGAGACACGAGCCATTGGCACCCACCCTGGCCATCTGCAACCAACAGGCTGTGTCCCTTGAGGTCACACAGTGAAGCTTTGAATGTCCTACACCGGAGTAGATAAACAAAGGAACATGCTGATAAACAGGAGGAAAGTGAGGCCTGGATCGAATTCACACCGAGACCTCAAGGCACAGCCAGCACTGGAACTTGAGTCTCTTTACTTCAATGCCTCACCTTTTTTCTGATTAAGAGCAGAAATTTAATAACCAGAAAATTCATTTAAAATACTTACATAAAGTCAAAGAATAGTTCATAAGCAAAGAATAATCAAAATATAGATTAAGATTGAGCACAAATCGTTCAGCTTGCTTTTGAAAATGTTAGTTGTTTTTAATCCCAAATCAACCTTTGTTTTTGTGTTTTGGTTTTTGTGGTAAGAGGGATTGAACTCACGACCTCAAAACTTGAGCCACACTCCCAGCCCAATTTACTTTAGTTATTTTTGAGATAGTCTCATGCTTTTGGCCCTGGCCTGCCTCAGGTCACAATCCTCTTACCTACACCACCCACATAGCTGGGATTACAGAGATGTGCCACCATGCCCACTTTTTATTTAAGGTACAGAGTCTCACTAACTTTTTGACCACACTGGACTCAAACTGTGCTCCTTCTATCTCAGCCTCCCACATGGCTGGGGTTCTTTTTTTTTTTTTTGCAATACTGGGGTTTGGACTCAGGGCTTCACACTTACCAGGCAGGAGCTCTACCACTTGAGCCAGTCAGCCAGCCCTGTCTTGTGTTGGTTATTTTTGAGATAGAGTCTTGCAAAGTATTTGCCCAGGACTGGCTTTAAACCTTGATCCTTCCCAGTAGCTAGGATTATAAGCGTGAGCCATGGCGCCTGGCTCATGACTGGTATTTGAACCATGAGCCACTGTGCATGGCCCCCTCAAATCATTTCTGGGTAAAGCAACTAGGTAGCTAAGCATATGGAATCTGCACACAGGCAAACCCCAGTTCTCCTATTTTCTGGCTGAGTGATGGAGGGAGAGCCTATTCCCTCTCTTCATTACCCCAGTCTACTGCCCTATAAACTGAGGGTGATGACATTAGGACCTCCCTTTTATGATAAACCCTTCAAAGGATAGAAAGCTCATGATGAATGTTGGGTTGTTACCTTTTGCCATTGCTCCCTAAGCAGGTCCCTTCTACTGAGTCACAGAAAGCCTGGAAATGGCAAGTTGCTGGCAGCTGGCCCCCAGTCCACCCTCTTCGTGTTGCTTGGACAAGCAGCACGGCCATGTCCATGTTAGAATACTTGGCCTGTAGCAAGGGCTCCAGTGACAGTTTCCTAACTTGTCTTCTGCCAGTTGGCTTGCATGGTTCCCATTCCAGATGATCCTTTTTTTCGAAGCATATAATACTTATACAGGGGGAATACATTTGACATTTACATATGTGCTTACAGTATACCAGATGATCTTTTTGGACACATTCTCTCCAATGTCAGCATGTTGGGAAAAAATACAAAGTCTGTAACATCCACAAAGCTACCAAGTCTCGTTCGTAGTAGATTAAAGCAGATATGAAAACTGCACTTGAGGAAGAGAGTAAGGACAGAT